AAAGGAACACAGGCCCCTGTGGCTAGCATTTTTGGATATCAAGGGAGCGTATGATAGCGTTTTTCAAGAGGTCTTGTGGAGAATGGTGGACACAACAGGTGCGAAGGATGGAGTCACTGAGCTCCTAAAGGATATCCGTAAAAGTAAAAAGGTAGTTATAAAATGGGAAAAACAGGTATCCGAGCCCACATAGATAAAATGGGGGCTTAGGCAGGAGTGTCTTCCGTCACCTTTGTTATTCATGATCTACCTACAAGGATTAGAGGTCAAATTAGAGGGGAGTGGGCTTGGCTTCAACCTCACTTTCGTCAAACAAGGAAAACTCATTAAACAGGCACTACCAGCATTGATGTACGCAGATGGTATAGTGCTAATAACCGACAACAAGAAAAATTTGCAGAGATTGATGGACATCTGCGATAATGAGGGAGATAAGTTAGGTTTGAGATTCAGTAAGAAAAAAATCCCCAGTCATAATTTTTTAATCATAATGAAGGTAGTGAGCTTATACGATACAGGAGGTCGTGCTAGAGATAACAGATAAATACATATATCTGGGCGTATGGGTAAGCAATGAGGCCGAGTACCTAACGCAACACGAAATATACATAATGACTAAAGGAAACAGGAATGCAGAGGTGACGAAAAATAGGGCACTGTGGAATAACAATGGGTATGATGTTGTGAGAGGAATTTGGAAAGATGTACATGGTTCCTGGTCTGACTTTCGGCAACGCGGTTTTATGCATGAGATCAGAGGTTCAAGCAAGATTAGAAATTAAGCAACAAGGAATAGGCAGGCTTAATTTTGGAGTTCACAGGAATACACCAAATAAGGAAGTACAAGGTGATATGGGATGGACATCATTCGAAGGCAGGGAAGCTAGCAGCAAGATAAAATTTGAGAAGCGATTGAGAGAAATAGGGGAGGAGCATTGGGCTAGGAAGGCTTTCAGCTACTTGTACATGAGGAATGTAGATACAAAATGGAGGAAGTGTACCAAAAAATTGACGGGTAAAAACTTAGAAAAGGGCAGAGGGCCAAACGAAAAAGAACTATTGGTTAAGAAGAAGGTGAAGGAAACGGAGACCAATATGAGGAGAATTGGCATGATTAAGAAGTCCGCACTACAGATCTATCGCACTTTTAAGCAAGAAATTACCAAGGAAAGAATCTATGACAATACTCGGGGTAGTTCCCTGCTGTTTGAGGCCAGGACAGGAGTATTGCGAACCAAAACTTATCGGGCCAAATAAGAGTAGACACGGTATGCAGTACGTGTGGAGAGGAGGAGGGAACTGCCGAACACTTGATAATGTTTTGTGAATGGCTTCACCCTATAGTTCAGGATGGTGGCGCAGAATTTTTCAAAGCACTGGTGTTTAGGGACAGGGAGGGCAAAATAGACTTTAAGCGGGTAGAATTATCTAGAAGGAGGTTATTTGATTTGTGGCTAAAAACAAAGCACGAGTGAAAATGAAACCCTTCACTGCAAAGTACCAGTCCTCAACTTCGCTATTTAAAAGAAAAAAAAAGATAAATCTAGTTTTTAGTTCAGTAAGCATTACGGCTAGGTGGCGTTAGCCGCCGCCCGATCTAAAGGGTACAGCCATATCAATTCATCCATCCAACCACTAGTAGGAAAGATGGTAGTACACTATAACGATAGCTGCGATTTGTGGTAAAGTGCACTGGTGGTGGAACAACCTTGTTGAAAACTCCGTCAAATTCGTAGCCTGGGCATAGACCACCCCGAGGAGGACCGAAAACCCTGTATTCTCGCTGCCTCATGGGCTTGTTCACGGGCCCACAGTTGATCCTTGAGGTTGGAGCTGCGCAGTGCGGCCGTGTACCGCGCCGCAACTTCGTCTGCATGTGTGCGCCATAAAGTTTCTCAGTATGAGGTGCGGATTATTGCATTTTAACGTACTGCATTTTCTAGATTGCAATGTCAAACGTGGTGTTGTCGAAGGTGAAAGTGTCCTTGCTGCCGAGTACCCCATTTTGCTTGTCGCGAAGGGCAATGTCGATGACGAAATGTTTTTGCACATTTCACGTGTGAATATGCGAACGCCCATGAACCATCAGTGTAGCTGCGAAGTGTTTTTACGAAGCCTGTGATCTCTGAAGGCCATATACCCTGCATTGCAGGCTTTTTCGCTAAGTGCATACACGTATGGCCATTCTCATCCGTTGCTAGGTAAATGCTCCTGTGTTGTCACAGGCAGGCAATCTGTTCAGCACTGTTTTGTAGGTAGGTGGGCTAACTTAGTCGGCACTTGCCCTTGGGCATCGTTCCTCAAGTGCCGATCTCCTAGAGCATTACGGTGGCATGGCAGTATCTCGAAGCGGTCTGCCGGTTACCTCGTGAGGTGGTGACGCTACGCTGAGTTACATAAAAATATTTCTTGTTGCATATTCGGCGCGGCTACGTTGCAGTGTACCTTTTTGTCATCAGAACTTTGATAAACCTTGCAAATCAACATTTTTCACGTCTGTGCGGTATAAACCGACGAAGCCGGCTTCATTTGAATTCAGCGTATCCTCCTGCGTCTCGCCCATGAAGGGTGATAATTCGCAAAACAGTTTATCATAATCAATATAGCCAACTCTGCCAGGGTCATCAAACATCGAATATCAAAGGGCTTGTAGACAGGACCGCCAGCAGCGCAGCAGCAGCAAGCCCGGCTGACGGGATGCCGATGAGCCGTCGTCAGAGAACACCTGCGTCGTCGCTTGCCGACTCGGCGAAGTCATTTCCGATCGAAAGATGATTCAAACCAAGCGCCTAACCGCAGAGCACCTATGGCCTAACCGAAAAAGTGCATGACGTCACTTTCCTGTAGCGCAGCAGCCATTTACGTGTGCACCATGGTCAGTGGAGGTGGGAGGTGGCTCGTGCACCGCACCGCATGGCGCAGCAGTCTATGACAAAAAAAAAAAAAAAAGAGGTGGGAATGTTACTTTGTGTCAGACTTTAGGGTGGTATTTAAGCTCTGCTGCGCAGCTAAAGTTAGCGTGTGCGACGCACCACACGGCAATCGAAATCTGCACCGTTGCCGCAGTCAGTGCAATCAATAAACAAAACGTTCTTTCTACACTCAGCGCCTCCTATATAGAAAAAATAGAGGAGGCGCTGCTACACTACAGAGTCTAGAAATATACTGCCTAGTGTGCTGAGCGTGGGCTAGATTGGGCTAGATGGCCCCGCAGCTGATGACTTCCGGCAGCACCCGCATGGTGCGCTGCTGTGCGAGTGGGTGCATTTGCGTTCAATCCTTGCGCTCCGCAAGCGCTGCGAAGCCTGCAGGAGGCCGAGCCGCGCGAGGCCAACTATTATTTTCCTGCATTTTCGGAGTGTTTTTTTACATAATGCTTTATTGTATAAGAACTACTCGATTGCTTCCACAGTACTGGCGCTTTGCGATACCAAATGAAGATCATTTCGTGGCATACATTTCGCCATCCGCTACTGCCCGCAAAAAAAAAAAAAAAAAAAAAAAAGACGCAGATCCCATGTAACTTGGGAATCAGCAAGGTGACTCTGTTGCAATTTTTTATTATGTGAAACAGTATGAAGTGGCGCTAAATATATGCAAGAAATTGGATAGTCAACACTGGAACCAGCATTGGCGTTTCACGAACATTTGGCTCTTCTTGCAAAGTCAAGGGGGTGATCGTGAGCGCACCCATACGTAGGTGATTCGATAGATAGATAGATAGATAGATAGATAGATAGATAGATAGATAGATAGATAGATAGATAGATAGATAGATAGATAGATAGATAGATAGATAGGTAGATAGATAGATAGATAGATAGATAGACAGATAGATAGATAGATAGATAGATAGATAGATAGATAGATAGATAGATAGATAGATAGATAGATAGATAGATAGATAGATAGATAGATAGATAGATAGATAGATAGATGCTCAAAGTGGTTGCAGTACGCAAATAAATTAATTTTAAAAACCATTGACAGCATAACCACCAGGGTTATTTTTTAAAATGTGCTTTGTTCTTGAGAGCAATAACTATCACAGAAGACCCTCAAACCTTTACCTCTTAGCCTGCATTCCATTAGGATTCGAGTGAAAACAAAGAATGATAACATGCCAATGAATAATCTAACACTCGCCGCATATGATACTCAAAACGTTGTTGGAAAGGGAGTCCGACGTTGACATGGGAGAAAAACTGTGCCAATGAATTCGAAAGGGTATTTTCAATTTTTAAGATGAATATTAATATTTGAAATTTTGCCTAAACGACGATTTCATTCCCGACACCATTCACCCTAATTCGAAAAGATAGTTTCGGGGTCACTCTTTCCTTGTTCGACCGATAACTTCTTTGACACCGCGGCACAATATATGTCCTTTCTTTGAATTGCCGCTTAGCTCTTAACACGTCAGGGTGTTGCAGTGTATATATGGTGCCGTCGAACTTCTCAGTAAAACAGATGACAGCTGTCACACACTGAGTTTAAACGTGGCGAGGCTCCGGCAGCAACAGGACGAGAGGAATTTCGCGCGTTCGTGCACCCTCTCGACACGCAGCGCCGCTTGTGGCATCTGAGTGCAGTCATCACATGCGCGGCCACCCTCTCGTACGGAATGCGCGCGCTCAGCACACTAGGCAGCAGGCAGTATATTTCTAGACACTGTGGCTAGTGGCTACACCCAGCATCTCAACCTGATCAACAACAAATCTTTTCTAAAAAAATACAAAAAGGCGCTGCTACATTACACTGTAGTTATCTCAAAGGCCATACATCTGCCGTCTTGCGGGTATCAGAGGCAAGCGTTGTGGTCAGCGTCTTTATCTTTTTTTTTACTACGAATTTTGAAGCCCGTGAGTAATACAATAAAAATAAAACGTTTTAGAGATGAACCGGCTTTTGTAATAATAGACTAAACTAGAATAATAGTACTTCAAAAGATACGTGATAAGATTGATTGGCTTGGCTTGGCTAGCTTGTCAGGCATTTTTCGCAGTAATTGCGGTGGCTGCGGCGTTAGACGCTGGTTTTATGCTGCTCCGGTAAGGTCAGATCATTTGTAGTCAGTTTAACTCGACCTTATTTCTAATATTTTCCTCCCGGCGATAATCTAGTTGGTTGTGCTAGTTAAGGGAACGGCAAGGCCGACATATAAACTCTCTAGTGCGCTCATCGAAATAAACTAGGTAAGCCAGTTCGGTATTTGGAAGATGTCATAGAACGAAGCCCTTCTTTTTCGTAGTGTATCGTAATTTCTTACTCGACTATCTTTACTTAGCCCTTAAAGCGCAAATTATCACTGATATCAATGTCGCAAGAAAAGCTAGCATTGTGCTTCGCGTGTTATGGGAGTTAACTGGATCGCATTTTAATGCAGCGATGGCAGAACAGTCCGGTTACTCGGCTGGCAAAAACCAAGATTCGAAGTCTGATCTCAACAAATCTACCTCGGGAGCAGACCATGCGCCGGATCCGAAGAACATTCAAGACTTGACGCAATACGTAAGTGCTGTACCACTCATTACAGGGCATATACCTTTGTTACGATTTATTGTTTGATTATTATTCCAGCTAGATGTTGGACGTTTTACTGCTTGTTTGGATTACTTGAATTCTCACTGCTAAAAGTTGCGCCTTAACTATTGCGGTAAAACAAAGTAGTATTTGAATTACACACACCTTGAATTTCTAAATGCTCTGCATTTAGCTATTCAAGGCTCTCAATAAGTAATCAAAGCTCTGCACTAGTATTACAGGCTCTGCATAAAGCGTTACCTGTAATATAGCTAAACATGCCTTTCAGGATTTGGTCACAATTTTTTATGCATTATTAGGGACGTGGATTGTGTGATGACGACACGCATGCCATAATTTTTTATCTGCCTAGCAGAAGCCAATGCTCCAATTTAGAGAGAACTGATAGTTAGCATCTTGAAACTAAGCCATCAGCGAGCAAAGGCCTCTTGAAGAATGCTGCTGCTGAGGAAAAAAGCATTCAGTTTTAACATAACCGCAAATGCATTGGTCATGATGATCAACAGCAATGAAGATGATGACAGACACATTGAAGTAGTGCTGTGAGCAATCAAGCGTGTCTTGAATGATGTTGGTGATGAAAGCATTGAACATGAGTATTAGAGTGTTGATGATGGCAATAATGAATGATGATGATAAAAGTGTTGTCAGAGCTGTTAGCAAGCAACCACATGAACACTTCTGATGATGATGTTAATGATTAATGTGTTGAAATGATGGTCAACACATTGGTTATGCCAAATAGTGATGCTGATAATGATGAATCTGTTAGAATGGCTGTCGGCAAGCAGAGGTTCCATGTATGATGAACCAGGATGATGGACCTATTATGTGTTCCCAGCGTCCACATTTGTGGACAGTTGTTTTATTCTAGAAATATGGTTAAATCTGGTTTATTCCCAATTTTGTATGTATATTTGCTTGCAATACTGGATTGGCTGTGAGATACTAAGCGGTAAACATTGTCAAGATACCGTTTTAACCTGCCACAGTTATCATTGTGTGCTATAGTATGAATCTTTGAACTCCAATGATATTGCATTTTTTAAAATTTTTCTCATGATTTTCTGAGCCCTAACTATGGTACACATGAAGACATGTACCTTCAGTAAAGTGAACGACTCAACAATCTAGCTTCAAGGCCCTTCAAGAAATAAAAGCCCTTGATTTACTAATACATGTTTCATTCAGATGGAACAAAATTGTTCTTAGTAGATTAATTTTCAAGCAAACATTTATTGTACAGGCACACTTAGTCCTGCATTATGTAATATGTGATATACTTGCCCAAGGCTGCACAACATACCATATTTTTTGCAACTTTTAGCGTGTTTTTAAAAACATAAATTTTACACAGATTGCAAAAAACATGGTTGAATTTGCAACTACCATAAAATGCTGAGGAAGTGCCCCCACTCGAGAAAGCGCCTCCCTCCTTTTTTTCGAGAAATATCAAAATAAGTGCCAAGTAAGCGCGAATGACCAAGGCGGAAATGAGCAAACACACCACTCCCAAATCTAGTTAGATTATCCTTCACCATAGGGAGGGTGCTTGCTCGGCATTTTAAGGTACAATTCTTGGACTTACGATTTCCACCAGGGAGTACTGATATGTTTTGGCCAGTTGTCAGTCCCTTTAAAGGCCAACTCCGGCAATTTTTTGAGGTCAATTGATCTCAACGAAATTCACTGGGTATGTTCATTTGTAGGTTTGTGCCATTGATGCCAAATTGCAGGCTTGAGAGTTTCACAGATTCTTTTCAAATGAGTTTTATAGCTTGCCTCAAACGCTCACCTCGCTTGCCAGAATTAGTGGCAGCGTTGTGTGTGTGACATTGAGTTTTGCGTGGTAGAAGTGACGGAACTGATGTGCCGCTGCGATGTCTGTTTGTCTGATATGGATTTTGAGGGCTTGGCCGGCACTTCCTTGATTGAGCGGGCGATTCCCTTTTCCATGTTGGTGGGCGTGCAATAGGTGGCAAGTGGTGTGCTGCTGGCTGCATACAATTAGCTATATATTCGCCATAACAGCCTAATCGTATTATCCGATCGCCGCAGGCACGAACTTACACGGCGTGGCAATCAGACAGGTTTGGGCAAAGGCTTACGTCACATGTAGAAGCCCACTCGATCAGGTTTCGGTATTGCGGTTTTTTGCTAATTAAAAATTATTTACGAATTTCTTAGCGGTTATAGTTTAGACTACACCTATCTCACTGCCTTGCTATTCTTTCTTTTTCTTTTACTTTTACAACGAATAAAAAGAAAATGAGAGTGTCTAGCATCAGGTGACCCAGGTGCAGCACCAGGTCTATAAAGAAACTACGCTTTTATGGCAAAGCTGCCATGATCTTTGAAGAGCATCAAAGGGACTGACAACTAATTTTTATGCAACATTATTACAGAGAGATGAATTAGTCGGTATGTGTTCATTCAAGAGGCAGGGCGTGCAAACACGGACACAAAAAGTCAAGACACCACAAACGCCTGCTTACTACAACTAGGCCTGTCCTACCTTTTTTTAGAATGTTTATGCTGCATGTTTCCTTGTGTAGTAGAAAGCGTACTGGTTAGAGTTTTTATTCAACGAATAGTAATGTGAAAAATGGTGTGAAACATTTGTAATGAACATCATACATTTTAGATCTGTGGCGACAGTGAAGTTATACACACACAACACATGCTCCAACCAGTGGGAGGTGAGCGCGAGAGCTGTTCATGTTTGTGCGTCGTAGTTTGCTGCACATGTGTGCATGCTCCGCAGCTCTGTGTGTCCCACTAGTCCGCAGGATAGTCTGAGCAACGGAAGCGATAAACGCCTCAGGAAAACCCGAAGCCTTAAGCTGGGAAACTTGAGCTTTGAAGCTCGCAGAGATGTTGTGAACGCACGACCTATGTAAGGCATTCTCAAGAGAGGTTCGTGCTATGCCTCGCTTAACTAACTTGCTGTGAGTGGAAGAAAAAGGAAGTAAAGGTTTCTGCGCACGTGGTTCATAACATCAACAAATGTGCTGTGTGCTAAAAAACAGTCTTTAATCAAAAAGCGTAACTTGTCACTCTCGGGCATTTCATGTGTCAACACAAGAGGCTTTAAACAATCTTCAAACATGCCTTTCGTTTGAGCCACAATCGAGTGGAACATAGAAGGGTTACAATTTAGAAGAACCAAGAAATCATCCACGTATCTGAATACTTTGACTACATGCGTGCCCTCTAACTTGCATCTCAGAAGGTGTCGACGTGCTCCTTCGGGATAAGCCTACCAGTACCAGCCTTCTGTTGCCAAAGACGGCCAAGTTCTGAGAGACAACGAACTTTGTGTCGTGCCGTTAGATAAGGAGGGTGGTTTCGCTGTTCTTCCTAATTGCTTGTACCTAGAAAAGACGGTCACAGCTATTGGCTCTGTTTTCAAATGTTGTACCGACATTCGTCTAGATAGAGTAAAAACACAAGCCAAGGAAATGTCGTAAACTAGAGTTGAAACAGTTAGCACAGCATATTAGGAAAAGCGACAAAAATGGGCTCAGCATGTTTTTTTCTGCCAAAACTCGTAAAGTCGACATGCCCCTCGAGTCATTGTGACAGAAAGTCGAATGTGGCAAAAGCGACTCGGCTTGTTTATTTAGATTCATCTGAAGTGTCTAAAAATTGATGACCCATTTCTGAACAAAAACTCACTGGCACTGATAAATTTTTCAAACAGTCAAATCAAACTAATGTTTTTGGTTTTTCAATTGACATAAAGGACCTATACTACTCACTGCCTCACGATGAGGTATTAGAATGTATAAGGGATAACATAGAAGTCTTCGGGGAATTGAACTTCCATTTAAAAACTGGCATCAGTGCATGAGATTTTCTTGACCTTGTTTTGCTGTACTTTATCTCTACTTTCGTTCAATGGAATGATTGCATTTATCTGCAGAAAAAAGGTGTTTCAATCGGCTCATGCATAGCACCTCTACTCAGTGATCTACTATTGGCTAAAATGGGCTGTAAACTGCAGAAAAAGTTAGAAGGCACGCATGTCTTTAAGGTATTCAGATACGTGGATGATTTCTTGGTTCTTCTAAATTGTAACCCTTCTATGTTCCACTTGATTGTGGCTCAAATGATAGGCATGTTTGAAGATTGTTTTGACACATCAAATGCCCGAAAATGACAAGTTATGCTTTTTGGATTTAAGACTGTTTTTTAGCACACAGAACATTTGTTGGTGTTATGAACCACATGTGCTGAAACTTTTACTTCTTTTTTGTTCCGCTCACAGCAAGTTAGTTAAGCGAGGCATAGCACGAACCTGTCTTGAGAATGCCTTAAATAGGTCGTGCGTTCACAAAATCTCTGCGAGCTTCAAAGCTAGAGTTTCATGGCTTAAGGCTTCGAGTTTTCTGAGGCATTTATCACTTCCGTTGCTGAGACTATCCTGCGGACTAATATGACACAACAGAGGCAACAACAGGATCTGAGCAACATGGTGTCCCACTAGTTGCGGCAAAGGCTGAGCTTCTTCTGAGCAGGCCACTTTTTTTACTGTGCAAGCAGTACAAAATATAGTGGGGATGGATAATAATGTGCTTGCTGAGCCCTAATTATGGTGCATGTGTACAGTAAAGTGAACAACTCTACAATCTAGCTTGAAGGCCCCCCTGCTAGTCTGCACGACAAACAGTTTTTTTTTTTCAAACTTTTAAACGTCATAAAAATATGAGTTTTACACAAATCACAAAAAGAATGCTTGAATTTGTCACTATAATTTGGGGTCTTTTTATTTCTACCGAGATTTAATCCTGGTGGTTTTGTGCAGTTGTCAGTCCCCTGAAAGTAACCAGTAAATAGTAAGAAGCGTGGTGTCTTCCACCAGGCCGAGATCACACATTGCTATCTGCTTATGTACTCGCGCTGCTTGTGTGTCAGAATGAGATGTCATCACAGCCAGCCATTGGTGGCATGCATTTTGTTCAGGTTAGCATGCCATCTGCTCGGCCATCAAATTGCTGGTGCTGTTTATAGATTGTGTGTTTCGGTTGTAGTCTACCAGCAGATAGCAGTACTGATGCAGTTGGTTTCCTCTGTTTTTGTACATGACGCAATACAGCCATGAACATTGTTACCGTAGCACAGGAGCATGAGCCTATGACGATAGCTTCATTCCCTCTATTTCATTCCAAGATAATAACTTGATGATGATAACCTATACTTGATTCTGCTGAGAATCCTGCTTTATTTTTTTTTTTTCAGATATTATTAAGGTATTTGTGGCGATAGGAAAACTTGCATTTTCCCTTCTCTGCTTCCTTTAGGTAACACACCATGTGCGACACGTAGCTGATGTAAGTACAAGGTGTGCAGTCTTACAAGATGCGCAAGAGTTTTGAGAAATACTGTTGTGTTACTAGATGAAAGCAAATTTTCGCAGGTTTCACTCCCTGCCTTCATGTCGAGAGCCGAAGAATCTGTCCGCTCGGTCAGTTTTGAAAGCTCAGTATTAGACGTCATTGCTGCATTATTATGGCCATGTTAAAGCCCGTTCACATTCACTGTGCCATCTTTGAGCTTTATATCTGTCTGTCTGTTGTAATATAGTGAGCACAATATTTTACCTTTTTAGGTGCAGACCCTGCTTCAGCAGATGCAAGACAAATTTCAAGTGATGTCTGATCAGATACTTACAAGGAATATCCTTTGATGCCCTCGGGTGCTTACTCTGTAGCATTTGTTATGTTAAAGGTGGTGGTGTTATCGGTGCCAGCAACACCAATCTTTTGATCAGTATTGAGGCTGCAGGTGCCTCAAGCATACAAGCAAGCACATGTTAAGAGTACTTTAATGTGACATCCATAGTTATTCAGCTTGTTTATCGATTATGTTTTTTTTTTATTTAGAGCCACTTGCTGTTGCTAGTAGCCTGAAGGACAGTCTATGACAAAGGAGCCAATGCAGTGGTTTTGTAACATGCAATGCAAGTGAAGCAAACTTGTCCACATATTTGAACTTTTTGTTCTGAAGTTTGTAATGAATAAGTTCAATTATATATTTTGGCTGATTATAAAGAATTATAACAGAACATTTTATGGCTGTAGTCGCCTTATCCACTTAGGGCACAAATAGCCATGGCCACAGAGATTTTTATTAAAAAATAAGCCTTGTGTATAGCAACCATGTTTTCTCAGCTGATATCTAGTCAAATTTCTGACATGTCTTATGAATATTGCTTTCAGTTTTACATTGCAGTGCATTGAGCGAACTAAGTTCGCTTGAAAAGACTATATGGTAAAATGTTTATTTCAAAGGCAATGTATATTTTTTCCTTAACATTGGTGTACTCGATGACATGGGCCATCGCATAGATGATTTGGAAAGGAACATTACTGACCTCATGGTACAAGCAGGAGTTGAAGAAGCTGACAAATGATGTGTGGACAAAATGCTGTGCAAAGAGCTACTACATGCTTGTGTACTCAGAGCACAGAGCTGCAAAAATGTGATGTTTCACTTTGTATAGTTATGTTGCCCCCATGTCTTCAAAAAAAAAAAAAGCGTTTGCTTAAGTGTGTTCCAAAGTCAGGCATCGTATGTAACACGAGGCAGGTTGAACATGTTGTATAAAGCCTCTGAATCAGGTGCTGTATTAAAGAGAATGACAGCAATAGAAATGTCATCTTTGTGCAGTGTTCTCAACTTGTTTTTTAGCTCTTAGTTTCGACTGTAAAAATTGTACTGTGTGATTAATAAATGTTCCTAACGATCTTATTCCAGCTTCATCCTTAAACAGAATATTACTCCATCTCAAGTAGCTTCAACTGCTTAAGTGGAACATGGACTTATGAAAAGCTTTTCCTTCTGTACTTTTCGTATTTGGAATAGTTAACAAAACTATGTCCTTTATTAGTAAGCGATTGTGTAGTGCACATTCAGGCACCGATAAGAGTTCCTGTTAAGCAAAGGCAATGTACAAGAAGCCTAGTGGCACTAGTTGTGCAGCAGTTTGGCATTGGTGTCTACTACTGCATTATGTATTGTTTTGTGCCTCCTTAGATACGATTTCTAGGGTTTCGCATGCCAAAACCACGATATAGCTATTAGGTATGCCATAGTAAGGGCTCAAATTTCGTCTGCCTGGTTTTTTTTTTAACATGCTACTAAATTCACCCAGGCATGTCTTAACTTTCTGTCTCCTTTGAAACTGTACCTCTATGGCCGGCAAACCCGAGTTTTTCGGATCACCAGCCAAGCACTGTATCCACTGGGCTGCCACGACAGCACATGAATCTTTACGTGCGAGACTAAAGATTGAAATGTTCATCACAGCCATCAGTTTTTTTTTTTTTTTTCTTCGCAAGGACAAAATATGTACTCTGCTAATTAGACAGGTTTCTGAAGGCCTTAAATGCCGTCCTTGTAGTTAACATGTGGGAAAAATAGTGCCAATAGCAGATCAAACTGTACGCCTCAATGCAGTTAATATCAGCAAGCAGAGTGAAATTGCAGCAGCTTATTGTTTAACTGAAATAAAATTGCAGTCTATGGCACGTACTAAAGGCATATACACCACTGCAGTATATTCACATCCATGCATTACTGCAAATTTCTGTGGCAGATTCTTGGGAACAGATTAGAACAAAAGCTGTCCTTTTATTTCAGTGGTAAATGCTACTAACTGTTCTGTATGAATAATTTAAACAATTTTGTTGACAGAATTGCTGAATACCCGGTGTCCGTCACTGGTTTCGAGATGTCCTCTCAAACTGCAAGGTACATTTGACAAGTGTGGGAACATATTTCATGGCACATGGACCATTGAGGCAGACCTTACAAGAACCAACAAGCATGCCTTGACAATACATATCTATAGCTTCAACTTGCCTTAAAGGGGTACTAAAAACTGTCATATCAGTACATTACTCTTTTGCAATTTCAAAATCTGCGCTTACTGTATGCGAGGAAACTCGCAAAAATAAAATGTGGGTGGCAACGCGACCTCGAAGCTTTAACACTAAACGCCATATATTTTGGTGGGGTCTACTAGATCCCACGTAAATACTAATTGGTACAAATAAGGTGTACTGTCCTTGGAGAGTGCTATGGAGTCGACATGCTAAGTTCCAGAAAGTTCTCTTCAGCCAGTGTTGCACGACTCCACCGATTTCATGACAGATTGCATTTTTGTATTTTTACAAGATTTCAGCATGAAACTTTACATCTTATTTTCTCCTTTATGAATAGACCTACAATTATGCCCTTAAAGGCATTAGAATGTTGAGAGTAACTATCAATCTAGACATTGATTTCACTGTGTCCCTTTAAAATGAAGTTTTCATGGGTAGGTTTTAGCACACACAGTATAGTCTATTTTTCTGATGGCAGAGCACCTGCCACCATTTAAGTGTTAAGGGTAAAAATTACTGTTAATTTCACAATATATCTCGATATTGGCGAGGAATTGTGAACGGCAAGCAATGGAAAAGAAACTTGCAGATAAAGTACACAAAGCTCTTAATCAGTCTTTTCCTAATTTGTGCACTCTAGTAAACAACTGCGAGTTACAAACAGCCCCTATATATGTTCCATCTTTAAGTGAATTAGAACTAGTTTTTAAATGGCACTAGTATGGCCACAAAGTCTGCAAGAGTAACCAGGGCTGAGCAAGACTCGAATTTTCTGTGTATATTCTAAGATTGCTTTCATCTTTTAACTACAGGACTACCACAAGTCTTACTGACTGAAGTCTGGATATTTAAACAGCCCAATCTCAAATTTTGCATTCTTATTTCTCATTCAGCAAAGGGTCATATATAGCAAGACGAACTTCTATGAAGGAAGCTTGAAGTACGAGTGATCCAGCTTTGCATTTCTCCCACACTGGCAACACATGTACACCTGCCACATTACTTGTATAACAGCTGATATAGGCCCATTTAAGTACAGAAAAATTCAGTTCCACTCTTTCTGGTGTGCAAAGCAATCCATGAATGGCGAGAGTGTATTAAACCAGGCCAAATAGCATGTTTGCAGAGCACTAATAGCAGTACTGCATAGGTGGCAGCTCCATTTTTTTTTTTAGGCTATACTATGGGTGCATGGACATCGTTCAGTTTCAGAAAGCAGTGGGTCTTCCTTGGCTGGCAGTAGTGAATGGGATAGTGAACACAAATATGCAGAAATGACTGGCATTAAAATTTTACTTGAGGCAACTGTTCCGATAATTACAACATTAATGACATGACCAGTTGGCTGTATTTCTGGAATATTGTGTGCCACAGCAGCTGCATGCGTGCATGAGCACAGAGCTGTGCATTGATAGTTAATGCTAGCTTTTCTGTCCAGTTACTCCCCTTTCTCCATCTTTCCTATACATCCCACTCCCTCTTCCGCAAAAGTACATAAACATGCTCCACCTGGGAGCATTGTTCGCTGTTTGCTGGTTTTAAGGACAGTAGTGGGTGTGGAGATTGCCGAAATGGTTGCAACACTCACTTGCAGCTGGTTAAAGCGTGTAGTAGCTAGATGCTGAAGCTTATGAAAAATCAAGTGTTCTGCTAGTGTCTGCGAAAAAAAAGAAAATTTGGCAACCAATCTTTGAAGTGAACTGACAATCTCTGCAGAAAAAGTTTTGATCAGGATCCCTTTAGATGACCCGTGTCACACCTCACAGCCACATTTTATCCCTTAGGTGCAGTAGTTGCAGTTTCAGACAACGACTTTGTATCTTGATTCATGACAGTTCCATGTTTCAGAACAAAACAAGACCAATAAAGAAAAGACAAGAACAGACAGCATAGTGCCTGCACTGCTGAAAAATCTTCACTTGTGGTCAGTTCAACACAGAAATATAACTTGCTGTAGGGACTGTCTTACTCTTACGACCGAAGTGTTTGAGGTAGTAATTTCAGCCTACCTAGAAAGTGCATTTGGGTGCACCACATATAATTATGCATGTAAACATGAGTATTTATGTTTTTTTTTTTTCAGACAACACTTGAAGTTATGTGTACAGACAGTTTTAATGCAAACAAGATCACAGGCAGTGTGGAAACACAGCACGCACAGCGGCCATAAAAATACACATCTTTAAAAAGACACATGTAAATTATCTTCGCAAGAGCCAACCTTCAATTAAGTTGCCACCAACATTGTAATGCACAGCCTGAAAAACTGATAAAATCAGGAGTGGCACATCTTTGGAGAGAATGCACAATGCTAGATAAAGGTTTCACGAGAGGGCAGGAAAGGACCACTTTGTACCAGCACTACAAAGGGTGCACAGAAGGCTGCAATTAAGCTTGCAAGTTTTGGGTTCACATAACATGTGTGAAGTCGTTTTAATATCAATAGCCACTTGGACCTGTTGGTTGGGGAACACAGCCAGGGACTCCAAAGTTGTGCATAACTGCATATTATGATATGTCGTACCAAGATACAGCCCCAATGGCAGGTAGGGAGGAAGGGAAGCAAGCCACACTTCAATAGAAGCCACAATCTTGATTGACCACATGCTACAACATCCCAAAAATATGTAATCAATGGAAAAGAAACTGCACGTTTAAGTGTCAACAAGTGTTGGGAGTCAAGACAACAAATAGACTCGCATATATACTGTTTGAACAACACTGACAAAGCATAGGCTTTAAAGAGTTGCACGAAAAGGGAATGTCATTCGAGCACAGGTTGAAGACATGTTTAGGAGGAGCTGGGCTGGCAGTGCTAGTCCCAAACCCCTTCATTTCAAAGCAGCTTCCAGACAAGATTGAAGTACACAAATTTCCTTTGACCACCATGCAATGTTTTCTTCACGCTCCTGAGCAGCCTGCAGCAACAACAGATGTCCGGGCCCCATGTTTGGCAAACTGTTTAGCTTGCATCTGAAAAGTATGCAAAAGCATGCTCTATACCATTTGTACAGGAAAGACCACTGGTCTAGTCAGAAACGAAGTGAATGTCTTAAGGTCAAAATTGCAAAAACTCATTTATTACTTTAACTGAGAAATCTATGGTTTGGAGAGAAAGAAGGCCTGTTCAAAGATTTACCTCATAGTTGGCTTCTTGAGCTGATCAGGGTTCATAAAAACTATGCAAAGCATAAGCAACTTGTTCCAAGCAATAAAAAGGCATTTTAATATTCCTCAATGCCTATTGAGTATGGCAATGCAATGTGTCAAGTATACTTACACACTTCAATGCCCGTTTTGGGCCTGTATGGTGGTAATGTGAATTATTAAGTACTACAAGTCAGAAAAGTTACCAGGCTAAAGTACATGGACTGGGAAAAGATGTTTGTTAACACCAGCAGCACTGTTAGCACTGGCTATATATAAATATATAGAGGTCATAAGGACACTTTAGAACTTCACAAAGCGAATCAGTGCAGTTTACTGCACTACCACCAGACTTCATACCAGTACTTTGGCAAGACCAGGCAAGAAAACTTCCAACTGATTCATTCCGGTTGCTGTGGTGCAATTTTTGCATAAAATCCAGACAGTGTTTTCACAAGCTTGTCCAGGTGTTTTCAGCAAACAGGTGATATTAAAGCAGCTATCCTAATTAAAACAGCCATACTGGCTTAAAATTTACATCTCTCACAACATGCAAGGGTCAGGCTGTCATTTTGTGTTATGTACCACGATAGATGTCAAAACATAATAAAGAACATATCAAATGAGTGACATGAAAGAAAGAACCAATGAAAGCAGCAGTGCAGCAAGTTTTCTTTTTGTGAACACTTGTAGGATTGCTGCAATTGTCGGGGTTTT